AAACCTTCTTTTCTATTAATGATTTACAAACACTTTCATAAACTTTTGCCATCCAAGGGACGATGTTGGTTGGGACATAACTCTGGTTGACTCAACACCGATTAAAAGTACGGAGATTGCTAAAGTGAAACTTTAGATCTGGCGAGTTTGATCCATTTTTACATATTCCCTTTTCTTTAAAAATTTTTCTTTGGAAAAACTAAGTGAAGCTCAGATGATAATGTAGTTATAGGTCCATATATGATGTAGTTAGCAAGAAAAATCTTTGAACATCCATTAGTATAGTCTTGTTCCAATCTGTATAAACAAAAGCCATGGCTGCCGCAATCACTTCTTCTTATTAGCCGTTTTTTCAAGTTATCTTAGTGCATTACCTTTTTCTGGCTCCACTCTGTTGTAAATCTGCATTAGCGGCTATTCTCAAGTGAGCTCTGTAAATCACTAGACATCTCCGGGAATATTCTTCACTTTTTCTTGCTTTAAACTGCTTTGAACTTTTAGTCCTTTGCAGATTATAAAAGATCTTGCACTGATAAATTCCGTGACATTTATCTAAACTGCGACTTTTTTCTTTTCAAACATTTGAAGCAACGCTATCCTGTTTGAATAGGATTTTTCACGCTTTTTGTATTTATGTTGTGGAATCTCGTGCATGAGTCACGGGCTCTAAAGCAGCTGATCCCATTTGTCTTAATTTTTCTAGATGCGATGATCCAACCTAGGCTGATATCCTAAAAAAATCGAAGTCATAGGGACTTTTGAAAAAAAAATTGTGCAATTTGTAGAAGCGCAGCTGTTAAAGTGACAAAAAAAATGAGATGGGTCAAATGCAAAATCAAATTAGTCTCTTGCTTTTATTTATATGTGCATGCTTCTTATTCAGCCTGTCATTTATAGAAAGGCAGACCTGTTATCAAGTAATCTTTTAGAATACAAGGTAGATATTGTGCTCTTCATTTACCTAAGTTTAGTAAAAAATTTATGATACTCACCAATAAGTAAACTCGCAACATTGGCTCACTTTTCAGTACTTTAAGATAGCTTGCGGATTAATATTCTTGCAAGTATTTTGAACGTGAGCTCGGAAACTTATCTTAAAGAGGTGCTAAATGCGAGTGATTCTATATATCCTTTTAAATCGCCAAGCGAATTCTCTTCAATTTCATTACTAAACTACTTCAAGGAGTTTTCTTAGTGTACCATAGAATATTTTATAAAAATCTTAAAACGCAAGCACTATTTTGTGTTTTCTCAAAAGGGTAATGTGTGTACAAAGCAGGCTTTTTAAAAAAGTATACTTTTATATACTTTTGAAGCTCTTAAAGATTTGGGCTCAAAGTATATGAGTATGCAGCATTTTGGAAGATAATTTGGTGCCAAGCAACATGTTCATCCTAGAATTGCTGACATTAACCACTCGCAAACCACCTGACCGGACATTATTTCCACT